GCTTACAGAACAACTAACAAAGGAGAGGAAGATATGGGAGGATGAGAAACAGAAGCTTACGGACGAACTCAAGGAAGCAAGTACACGGTACGAGGAATACACAATACTCGAAGAGGGATTCAAAAAATTGATTGAGGAAAGACGAGAGCTTTTGGTGAAAGATAAGGTGAATGAGGAAGATAAAGAAAGACTCGAAGAGAAGTGTACGATATTAATGAAAGAAAATGAACAGTTTTTGAAGTGTGATTGAAGAGTTTAAGGCGTACCAACGATATTCGGTTTCTGAAATAAATTACCTAATGCTTACAATTGATGGCCAAAAGAACCATATTCAGCAGTACAAGGAGCTTGTTAATTTGCAACGAGACTTGATTTCTAACAACCATCACAATGCGTACCAGAATGCTGAGACTGCAAGTCATATGGATCAAAATTATTATTAATTAACTATAATCAAGTTAAAGTACTGCAATTTGGTGATAATTTTTTTTTTAAGCATTTTAGCAATTGTTTAGATTAGCTTCAAAAAAAAAAGCAATTGTTCTTATTATTGATTGGATCTTTTTTTGGTTTTTCTTTTTTCTTTCTGATTCTGAATCCATTTTACAATAGTTGTGATTTTGAAGAGAAATTCGGAACAAGGAACAAAGAGTGGGACAAAAAAAGCGATATTTAGGCAACGAGGATCGGCTCTCACCTTATCAGACACATTAAGCTATGGTGTCAATATTTGATGAACCATATACTATGAAATAATCCTGAGGCCCCGCTAGTCATCTCGTTCTACATTTTAGCGACAATGTAAGAGCATGAACATGATGAGAACCTTACTTTCTCAACATACATATTGCACATTTTCAGACACAGAATAATGATGTCCATTATCAGCAGAATAATTTCATACCATCAGAAATTGTGCTTACACTACAAATGTTTTAAGATAACGATAGCAAAAACTTACATAGTTATGCTTCACTTCCATTGTAAATAGCACAAAAACAAGTACTGCTAATGAGCCGAATGGACAGACCAGGTTTTAAATTAGTTTCTAGATAGTTTTCGACCAAAACAAAAGGGCGACTCTTGATATCAACAGACTCCTATTCTATAAACATTTTAGGTGAGATGCAGCTCCCATCCATGAAGTTCATTCAAAGGCCCACTGGTTCTCCCTCCTAACCTCCTCTTCCTCCTCTGGGGTGAAGTCGTTCTTGATGTTGAAGGTCTTCCTGATCTCCTCAGGAGTCTTGCCTTTGATCATGTCGGCCACAGTTTGGCAGGTCAAGTCCAGCAGACTCTTGATGTTCAGGTAGTTAGCAGCCTAAACCAAGAATAAATGCACTGAAAATCAGTATCGAGATTGACAAATCAGAGAAACAAAACATAAAGAGAGTAATGGAAAATTGTCACAGCAGGCCCAAAAGTAAGCAGTAGAGCATCATAAGAGCATTCAATCAAAGATGGTCCCAACTTAGTCATGCCATGAAAATCTTAATGTTACAGTGAATTTCTGCTGGAATGAAATGGGCAAACAAAGCTACTATAAGGGAGCAGAGCAGAATATAACTGATCAAAAAGATGGAAGAACTAGAATGTACAGGGGAGAAAATTCAAGTTTCTCAACATGAGAAACATGTCAATTGGGTTTTGGTCCAACGGAAGCTTAACAACGCTAACCCACAAATAAAATACCCATCTCTCCTCAACGATGAAGTTAAAGAATCCTTCACCAATGGAGGTCTAGAAATTCTACAACCATGAAAAAAAAACTCACAAATAATAACAAACAACTACCAATTTAGGGTTAACCCAATATACACTATTGAATTGGTGTGTTGGGGTCGGGGTTTGATCATGCTAATAAATTATCAGCGAAACACAAACCATCGTGTTAACAACTTGATAATCAGACAAATGGCTGACAATCCATAGTTCAAGTTCATTTCTTTCTAAACAAAACCATAATCACAATACCGATTATCATCAGGAGCCAGTGAATGAACTAAAAACCCTTGAATAAAAAGAAAGCTGTGTCGGAAGAATAAAGTTTTAGGAAATAACAATTAGATGATGAAAAAATCTCTAATCCCATCCATTTCCAGAGCAAAAAAGGTTGGTGATTTGCAAATCAATGGGATTTCATAAAGCCCGAAACAGTTAGGGCTTTGCAAATCAATGGTTTAAAAAAACGAAACAGCATGGGGTTCGCAATTTGAAGCCGAAAATGGCTGGGGATTTTCAGAGCTTTCTAGCACTTGGAAGGCACAAATATAAGTGGAATTTCAAATCCCCAACAGCACAGGACATCGCAGCAAAATTAGCATAAACAAAATCAACCAACAGGTCTACAAATAAATACAACTTCCAATCCTAAATATCCAAAACAACTTCATATGACATCAACATGTAATCAATTGTAAAATATAACCAAAAACTAGCAATTCAAGTGCGTCCCAACAAACAATTACACAAACATAACTTGATCAAACATCAAAAATCATTTCAATCAATTACAGAAACGAGAAATTGAAGTTTAACTTCAAAACAATTAATCCCCAAAATAATTTAATTTAACAATCAAAATAATCAACACCCAACAAATAATCCATTTTAAACCAAATGAAGACAGATTTAGATCTAGAAAATCACATAGACAGCATAATCGGAAAATTGAACAAAAAAACAAATTAAGAGCACAAACACTAAATTAAAGCAAGATCTAAAATCTAGAGATAAAGGGAGAAATGAGGAGAGAGAAAAGTAGAATATACCAAAATGAGATCAAAAAGGGTATTCTGGTCAACTTTGACAAACTCAGCATCCCAGCTCTTAAGTTCATCATCAGCAGTAGAATTAGTAGAAGATCGATCTTCAGCAGAAGCTTTAGAAGCAGCAGCATCGACATGCTTCTTACAGTACTCAATCACCTTGGAAAGGATCTTACCAGTAACATTAGGAAGAGGAATCGCGTTGTCGGCGCAATCATCTTCGATCATATGCTTGATTGTCTGAGATTCCAAGGCGACAATCTCTTCGACATCGAATTGCTCGTTGTCGGAGGATTTCAGGGTAACCTTCTTGGAAGTGGCAGCCATTGATGAAGATTGTTTTGGAGGAGAGAGAAAATGAAGCGGCAGAGAAAACCCTAGCAGATCCGAAATGAGGAGAGAGAAAGTGATGGAAGATGGTGGGGATGTAAATGGATTTTGAGGGGTTATATATAGAGTTGGTTGTCAGCCCTAGGGGTCCTGTGTCGTTTCTCATACTCCGTATGTTGTCACTTTTTAATTGTAATTTGTCCTGTTTCCGTCTTTTTATTACATGCCTTTTTTTTTTTTTTTGTATCATAATTAAGAAAGTTAAATTCATAAAATTAATAATTGGGAGTATAAATATACATGTGGGGTTAGAGAGAAACAAAATGTGGTTGGAAATTATAAGAGAGAAAGTATTGGAAATTGATGTTTAAAGTACCAAAAAAAAAAAAAAAGACAAATCATCCAAAAGAGAATAATATTGTAAAAACAGTACAACCTTTAAATAAAAACAAGCACTTAATTTTGATGACTCAAAAAGGGATTACAGACATGTAATAAAAGGACATAGGGAGTACTTCAATTGATAAATTTAGAAATTCATGACAAAAATATGTGTATACTCTTTATCTGTATAGATTAATACGAGTATACGACTTGGTAAGAAGGACTCGTCACCTTCCAAACATCGAGCCAAATCATCACCCAAACAATTTTAACCATTACACCACGTCGCGCAACAAACCATTATTACTTCGTACAATACACTACATCACCCAAGTGGCCAAGTTACCAAGATTACTCTGTGTACAAACATAAGGATAAAGAGATTTGAACCCTCTACTTCTTATAATGAAGATGACTATTTAATTACTAACGGTCAAATATCAACTACTCCTTCGTGCCATAATTTGGTGCCTAATTCTCAAAAAAAAAAAAAAAAAAAAAAAAAAAACACGGTAATTAGGGAGAATGGTGGAGGTAGTGAAATATTTTATTCATTGAAAATATAAAAAGTAGAAAATATTGTATGAGAATAATAAAAAGTACGAATATTGTATGAAAAAGAGAAAAATAAGCACCGATGGAGTATGTTATGAATATGTAAAAAGTTACTCCGTATTTTTTAAAACAGGCACAACATTTTGGGAAACCCCAAAAGAAATACTGGCACGAAATTATAGGATTGATAGAGTATGTTATTACGGAGTAATGTGTAAAAAAAAAATAAAATAAAAATGTAAACCACAAGATTCAATTTATCAAATCATAGAATAACTCAATTTTGATTTGACAATGACAATTTCAATTTTAAAAAATCTTTACAAAAATTTGTCCATATACATTCGAGAGTAGCATCCTAAAACAACATACAGGCTAATCACTAGTCCCTTTATTAATTACCGTAGCTATTCCGCTTTCTACTAGCCTTTTTTTGGTAGGAAATGCACGAACATCGATTTCCAATAACCATTTCGTCTTCCCTAATCAAGTTCTTTGCAATACTCTCATAGGTAATTACAACCATACTTGACAAATTTCCAATTTCTATTCCGACATAGGAAATTAATTATTCCGTATTATGGAACACAAGTAGAATCTAAAAGTCTAACTAAATTTGGAAAGACTAAAGGTCTACCGGCTCTATTTGATTAATCTAATTTTGTTTGAAATTATACTCTGTATTTTTTTATTTTTTATTTTTTGAAAACATACTATGTATTATTTAACTTTATTTAGGAGTACTTTTTATTTGACTAAAGATCTACCGACTCTATTTGATTAATCTAAACTTATTATATTTTTTGAAATGATTTAATTTTATACTCGTATGAAGTATTGTCTTAACAAGCTAGTGTTAAGAGTCCTCATAGAGTCATAGTGTTATCTTATGAGACTATTTTCATTGATTACAACTTACAAGACTATGAATCAAGGAAAATAAGTTTGATTAAAAATACAAGGAGCATAATTAATTTGAGCTATCAGATGATCGATGTAATGAAACCAAGAACATTTAGGATGATCGATACTCTGTATCTTCTAGCAGTACATGATCGAATGCGAATAGGGATAGATATATAATCAAGAATAGACACATCGTCAGTTCACTGTGTACTCAACTATATTAGTTACATATATATCCATCAAGCTCCTTCTAAAAAGTGTTGCATTTTCAAAGCACAAGCTTATTACAGCAAAACTCTATTTGATGCCATGCTTCGATTTCTACAGCTTTGAAACAGGTAAGCCTGCACAGTAATTGCAATTACAGTTAATATAGTAAAGTGCTAAGTGATGCATGTAGACAGTGCACAAAGGTAACTAAAGTGAATAGTACTTAGAGCTTTGGCATTGACAATGCTCGGGCAAGCTGCCGGGGGTGGAGCATTCTCATTCAAGAATGGCTCAACGCGGTTGGGGTCAGCCCATGCTGGGTATCCTTTGATTTTTCCCTGAAATTCAGAAATACAAGTTATATATATCTAGCAGGGGATTGATTACTCGTCTGCATTTACAGTTAGGGATGGAAGGCAGGGAATTGCAAGGGCACTGCAAGCCTATCACATAGTTTTGGCAGATATACAGCCTAACTCTGTCTAATAAAATACAGCATAAGACTATTTTTTGGATAATCCATATATAACACAGGTCAAGCTGATAAATGTACCAGGACATTCAGAGCTGCAAGTGTCGCCATTCCTTCACGAGTCCACTGCATGACAGAAAATTAAGAATAAAATTGGATTAGAAATTGCCGCTGAAGGACTTAACCATCATAACTAGTTGTGAGTAGATGGTGCAGAGATCAGTAAAATTCCCCCAAGAACCTTGGAAGCTGAAGCTATGTGTGGCACCACAACAGCATTCTTCATGTCAGCAAGGCCAGGTTTCATGAATGGCTCATCCTACACAAGGAAATGTTTGAATCTAAGAGGTGTCCAACAAGCAAGGTCTGAACTCTGAAACGTAAGAAAGTAATGATTGGATACCTCAAAGACATCAAGACCAACTCGAAACATGGGGTTTGCCTTCAAATGTTCAACAAGAGCTACTTCATCAATGACAGCACCCCTACTGCAGTTAATGAGAATCGCTTCCTGTTGATGAAATTTATACAAGTTTAAGCAACATTTGTCACGAACTTGCAGTAATCAAATTAGGAATTCTCCAAGAACAATTCGCTGAAATTACCTTTTTCATCATTGAGAGCCTCTCTTTGTTGACAAGATGGTAAGTTGTTTTATCCAATATAGGATGCAGACTTATCTATAAAGCATTCAATCATTTACCATTACACACAAAACTGATTACTTTTCTCCATTTCAGACAGAAGGTATTAGGAATAATAGATCACTTGAATATGCTTGGCTGGAGCTTGGTAGGAACCTTACCAAATCAGCCTGTTGAAGTACTTCATCCATACTCGCTGCTCTTTTCCAAGTGACAGGTTGCTCACCATTAGCTTTCAGGAATTCACCATAAGCTAGAGAAAGAAATCACAGAAATATCACTTAAAATTCAGATATTTAGCTCACCATGTAATTGTTGACAGCTCTTCCTCCCTCCTAAATAAATATCTTAACAATCCAAAAAATAAAAATTAAATCTCCACCATATTTTGTAGAGTTATTCCAGGATGAATAACATGGGAAAGACCAAATTTTTACTCAATGAAATTAGAAATACGGTCAACTATATCAGGACTTGGGGAGTATCCGAGTATACCAGTAACAAACTTCTCCAGTCGAGTTGATTGGTACAGATCAAAATATATCAGGTTCATTTTGAATCCCTCAACCTGAGAATGGAATAGTAGCAATATGTGTGGTTAGTTGATCAGAAAAATCACCAATAGCAGTTTTGCAACTGCAAAAGAATGCAGAAACTCGTTGGGCTTATTGCTTATAAATGTTGATTCGAGCCAAGATGCAGAATTTTAAAAAACTTCTTTTAAAGTATACTCGTATATACTTTTTCAACTAGTGTTTAAATCAAGAGTAAGTATTTATTAACATTAGAGCACCAATTTAAAATGTATGTTACCATCATTCTAGCATAAGCAGACCCAATACGACCAGCTCCAATGACACCAACAGTCTGCCCCTTGAGCAAGTTTCCAACAAACCTGTGATGAGAAATGCGTACTGTTAGGTCCTTAAAAAGAATTCATTTACATAGAATGAAATTTAAAATGGGAATATAATTAAGAGAGCCCTTACAAATGAGGAAGCCATCCTTCATACAGACCAGCCCTCATGAACTCATCTGCTTCAACTATCCTTCGGGCAGCTGCCAAGGATAGTGAAGCCGCTAATTCTGCTGTAGTCTCAGTAAGAACTCCCTACAAAAGGCGATAATACAATAAGAAAGCTTCTTGTTCCAAACACAATTCACATTTCAAGTTTATAATGACTACAACAAAAGTGTAGCCACTGAAAGCCGTTTATAAGCTACAATAACCATTATCTCAAAATATATTGAAAATTTATAAATGTACGATGCACTCATCCAATAATATAGTAAACCTACACAAAGTTATTGCACGGTTCCATTGACACACACACACTAAACCAGAGCTCCATTCTCGATACTTCCAGGTGCATGAATTAAATTGTGATTAGCTACTTACTAGTAATAGTTGACAACATACGCAATACTCCATATATTAATCTAGTCAATGTTACTAGCAATAGTACAAGTTCAGATAAAAATAAAATTAAGATAGCAAAGTCAAAATCTTACAGGAGTGTTACCAACAGCAACACCATACTTGTTAGCAGCATTAACATCAACATTGTTATAACCAACAGCCATGTTACTGAATGCTTTGCCACCTGCTTTGCTCAATGCAGAGAACAAAGTCTCTCCCCAATCTTCTGTCAACTGTAATAATATTAAATAATTCAACAAAAAATAAGCAATTATCTTGATATTCAAATGAAAATTACCATTCATCCATAAAATTAGAAATAACAAACTATAATAAATTTACCTGGCCAATTACCCCATCACACTTGTCTCCAATCAAAGCAATGATATCATCAACAGATAATATAGTTTTGTTCTGGGTACAAATCTAAATTTGAAAAAAAAATATATTATAAATATCAATACATGAAATTATAAAAAAAAAAAATCCAAAAATGAAGTGGGTGAAAAAAAACTAAAATAACCTCCACTCGACAATCTTGTTCAACTAAGAGATTGATCCAACGAGTGCCAGGCATAGATTTAGTGCTAACAACTCTGTATTTTCCACTAGGATTGTAAACTTCAATTGAAACTGGTTTTGCCATGATGAATAATTTTGGTTCAGGTAATTCAACAAACACTTGGTATGCAAAGTTTTATTCTTGAAGTTTTTATACTTGGGAAATGGGCATGATGTGGTGCAACCCACGGTAAGAATTGTATGTACATTCACATCAACACATCAAGATCAAATCTTTATGATCATTGGTTGATAAAGGTGTTATCTTTGAAGGATGTAGAGTAATATGATGGGATTGGATGTATGTGGGCATTGTTTGTGATGTTTGGATAAAGTGGATTTGTTTTGTAGGAATTGGAAGTTTTATGAGGGCCTTTCATTTGGTAGGAAAGATAATGAGATTGTGGCCTATAGTTTTTGATCTAATGCATTGAGTTCATGATTGCTATAGAGGTTTTTGAGGGCCCTCTCCAATTAGTTAGGAAAATTCATAGCAATTGCAATTTTTTAGAATTTTGGGTAGATTTTTTATTTTTTTTTTTTTTTTTTTGTGGGCGTTGAGAGAATAGCAAAGACAAATGCTATAAACGAGATTTGATCTCATTATTTGAATATCACCTCTTCAAAATTTAACCAACGAATCTAGTTATAATTATTACCCGAGCATAAAATTAATTATTACATTCGTATTTTAATGTACGAAATATTAATCTTACCAGCAAATATATATAGTGCACCACTCATTCCTTGAAAACATTCAAGTACAATTTTAGATAGGAAGAACTATAAGATTATACTTCAATGAGTTCAATCTTTCTATTTTCTCAACTTATTGTTTGCTAGGGGTAAATCATTGATTCGAAATGTTAACAATTTCCACTTTAAGATTGATTTACCGGTTTACAAGTTGCACCGATTTCATTAACTCAAGCCTACAGCGAACATTTATGACAACATATAATGATCATAAATGGTTCCAAACGGCATTATATGACCTCGAGATGTAACCCCTTAAATCTCAATGCTTTTCAACACTGGGCCCCGAAACAATAAAAAATTCTCAAAAAACGTGGATATTTGCCTTCAATTTTGAAATTTTTTGACTTTTTTCGCCTAGATATAAAAATTTCCGAAATGTTTACCATGGTACCTAATATCCTTCAGGAGTCCAATTGGGTGGGTGGAACCATCCAATTTTCCTTTAAACAACCAATTTACCGGTTTACAACTTGCATCGATTTAATTAACTCAAGCCTACTACGAACATTTATGACAACATATGATGATCATATATGGTTCCAAATGGCATTATATAACCCCGAGATGTATCCCCTAAAATCTCAAAACTTTTTGACAACGGGCCTTGAAACATCCCAAATTTTTCTAAAAGTATGGATTTCAATTTTTGAACTTTTTGACTTTTTTCGCCCAGAAATATAAATTGTCGAAATGTTTACCACGGTACCTTATACCCTCCGGAAGTCCAATTGGTTGGGTGGAACCATCCAATCTGCCTTTAAAGGCCCAATTTACCGGTTCACAACTTGCACCGATTTCATTAACTCAAGCCAACCACGAACATTTATGACAACAAATAATGATCATATATGGTTTAAACAGCATTATATGACCCCAAGATATATCCCCTAGAATTTCAAGACTTTTCGACACTAGGCCTCGAAACCTCCAAAATTTCTGTAAAAGAGTGGATATTAGTCTTCAATTTTGGAATTTTTTGACTTTTTTTTCGCCCGAAAATAAAAATTGCCGAAATTCTTACTTTGGTCCCTTATACCCTTTGGGAGTCCAATTGGGTGAGTGGAACAATCCAATTTTCATTTAAACGGCCAATTTACCGATTTACAACTTGCACAGATTTAATTAACTCAATCCTACCACGAACATTTATGATAACATATAATGATCATATATGATTTCAAACGATATTATATGACCCCAAAATGTATCTCCTAAAATCTCAAGCCTTTTCGACACCGGGCCCCAAAACCTCTATAATTTCTCAAAAAGCGTGGATATTAGCTTTCAAATTTCGAATTTTTTGACTTTTTTTTGCCCAAAAATAAAAATTGCCGAAATATTTTCCATGGTCCCTAATACCTTCCGGTAGTCCAATTGGGTGGGTGGAACCGTCCAATTTGACTTTAAACCGCCAATTTAACGGTTTACAACTTGCACCGATTTCATTAACTCAAGCCTACTACGAACATTTATGACTACGTATAATGATCATATATGGTTCCAAATGGTGTTATACGACCCCGAGATGTATCCCCTAAAATTTCAAAACTTTTTGACACCGGGCCTTGAAACATCCCAAAGTTCTCAAAAAGCATGGATTTCAATTTTTGAATTTTTTTTACTTTTTTTAGCCCGGAAATATAAATTTTTATAATGTTTACCATGTTCCCTAATGCTATAATGTTTACCATGTTCCCTAATACCCCATGGGAGTACAATTGGGTAGGTAGAACCATCCAATTTTTCCTTTAAATGACCAATTTACCGGTTTACAACTTGCGCCGATTTCATTACCTCAAGCCTACCACGAACATTTATGACAACAAATAATGATCATATATGGTTGTAAACGACATTATATGACCAGAGATGTGTTCCATATAATTTCAATATTTTTAGACACCGGGTCTCGAAAACTCCAAAATTTCTCAAAAATCGTATATACTAGCCTTCAATTTTTGAATTTTTTTTTTTTTTTACTTTTTTCGCTTGAAAATAAAAATTTCTAAATTTTTTACCATGGTCTATCCCTAATACCCTCCGGGAGTCCAATTGGGTAGGTGAAACCATCCAATTTGCCTTTAAACGACCAATTTACCGATTTACAACTCTCACCGATTTCATTAATTTAAGCGTACCACGAACATTTATGACAACATATAATAATCATATATGGTTTCAAACGACATTATATGACCCCGAGATGTATCTCCTAAAATTTCAAGGCTTTTAGACACCGGGCCCTGAAACCTCCAAAATTTCTCAAAAAGTGTGGATAATTAGCCTTTAATTTTTAAATTTTTTGACTTTTTTTTTCGCCCGTAAATAAAAATTGCCAAAATGTCTACCATGGTCTCTAATATCCTCCGGGAGTCCAATTGGGTGGGTGGAACCATCCAATTCCTTTAAACGACTAATTTACCGGTTTACAACTTGTACCGATTTCATTAACTCAAGCATACCACGAACATCTATGACAACATATAATGATCATATATGGTTCCAAACGACATTTTTTGACCCCCATATGTATTTCCTAAAATCTCAAGACTTTGCGACACCGCTCCCCGAAACCTCCAAAATTTCTCAAAAAGCGTGGACATTAGCCTTCATTTTTGGAAATTTTTGACTTTTTTTCGCCCGAAATAAAAATTGCTGAAATGTTTATCATGGTCCTTAATACCTTCTGGGAGTCCAATTAGGTATGAGGAACCATCCAATTTGCCTTTAAATGGCCAATTTACCGGTTTACAACTTGCACTGATTTACCGGTTTACAACGACCAATTTAATTTAACTTGCACCAAACCCGACTTGAACTGAAATTGACCCAAACCCGTTTTAACCCGTCAAAAATCCGAATTCAACCCGACTTTAACCCTACTTGTTACAAACCCGACCCGAAATCAACCCAACTTGTTATTGACCTGACCCAAATTAAACCCGAATTGTTATTAACCCGGCCCGAATTTTACCACGTCTATTACTTACCCCACCCAAAAATTCAACCCGGTCTGTTACTAACTCGACTTGAAATTAACACGATTAGTTATTGACCCGACCTAAATTCAACCCAAATTATTCCTGACCCGATTTCAAATCTTCTTAAATGTAATTTAGACCACCTTACTATTATTGATCAAAGTATTTTGTCTAGGGAGACCAAGTCTGACTTGAATCCAAGAACATAAACCGACTTGAATCCGAGAATGACCCAACCTGATTATAACCCGCAAATTATTGACTTGAACCGAACTCGACTTGAACCCGAGAATGACCCGACCTGATTATAATCCGCAAATTATTTACTTGAATCGAACCCGACTCAAACCCGAGAATGACCCGACCTAATTCTGACCCGCAAACTATTGACTTGAAGAACATGACTTGAACCCGAGAATTACCCTAGCCCGTTTAAACCCGTAAAAACCCGAATTAAACCCGACCTATTGTTCACCCGACCCAGATGTAACCCGACCTGTCATTAACATGACCCAAACTCTATAAGAAGTATGACCAGACGTGACTCGACTCAAGCATGACCCAACCCAAACCCGACCCGCATAGATTATGGAATTAATTCGAATTGACCCGACCCGAGTTGACCGGACCCATTCTTATCCGACCAAAATCCGACCCGTTTACCCTAATTGACAACTCTAAATAAAATACTTCCATAAAGGTTAATGATGATGGGCTAAACACTCCTCATTCGGAAAGAACTTTTCCGGGCCCATTGAGCATTAATTGAAATTTGCCCAACTTAAAAAAGTGTATGGCTAGTTTGTTTTTTTTTTTTTTTTTTTTTTTTTTTTTTTTTTTTTTTGACAGTGAGAACAACGAAAGAAAAACAAACAATTCAAAAAGACCACAAAAGAAATTCTCTAGCACGAGCCTACCCAGCTAACCAATGCGCAGGAGCCACCCACGCTCTAGGCACCTTCAAGACCCTGCAAGCCTCAATCGTGGATAATAGTGTATGGCTAGTTGAAGCAGAAGAGTTGCCAACATTACTTTGCATCACCAACCACGTTGAAATAAAAATGTACTCAAATAAACATTTTAATTTTTATATTTGTTCAAGTAATACAAATAGAAACATAATAAAATGAAAGATATATTTCAATTTTGTATTTTTTCTCAAATAATACAACTTTCAAAGTGTTACATAAAACTTTATTTATTTATAATAGGCCAATTACATAGCAATCATATGGGAAATTAGTGCCAAAATTGCCAAAATCAAACTATTGAAAAACAAAAATAAATCAACTTCATAGTCATCCCCGATTTATTTATTTTTGCAGAGATTGACATGTGACGAAATGTTACAAGAAACACAAAGAGGCATGTTAGTTGTTGCTTAGCTAGTCCAAGTATGCAATTGTGTATAAGTACGATTATCACAATGAAAATAGAAGCCATCTTCTTTGGCCTCCCAAAAGCATTGCGAATTACACGTACCTTCGTGAGCAGTCCTAAAAACATCAAATCTAATGTTTTTATCTTTCCAATAGAAGTGGCAAAAGTATAGTGTTGAATCCATCAAATTGACATGAAAATGCCACTCGTAAGTTTGTCCTTTCTCCAAAACGTGCACACC